ATATAGTATATTAATATGTACAACTAAAATTACTAATAAAGATATGAACAAGGCCTCACCTTAACACCAAAAAAAAAAAAAATGCTTTCAAATTTTTAATGCTATTATGTATAGAGTATCTAAACTTATATGATTTTAAGGTCTCATTGTTTAAACAATAGCAAACCCCAAGAACATATAAGCCTGAATACTATTGTGTGATAGTGAAAAAAAGATATAAATGTAAAGTATGTAAGTAAGTCTTTATTAGTTTGTAAATGCTTCTTTTGAACAAACAATACTAAAAGTTTTCTTAATAAAAACACAGCTTTAATAATTCTCTTGTTGTAAACTAGACCAAAGCTAGAATGATATATAGTGAATGGTGGCTATTTTTTAACATAATGTGAATCAAAATTGATATAGAACTCAATATACCTTAATTCTAACAAGACGCAAATTATAATTTGTAACTCAAAGTAATTGGCCTAACTATGAATAAGTAAAAAGTATTTAATTTATATTTTTATATGCTTACTGAATAAATATTTATTATATAAAACATTCAAAATCTTTGAAGATCAGAATTTACACAAACTTTTAAGAGCAAAATAATAGATTTTTGATGAATATAGTCCATTGGGTTAGATTTTTTTTTGACTATTTTTATCACTAACATTAATGTATTGTAGCATGATTCTTTTTTTGAATAGCAACACAACTTATATGCAAAAATTACAATAATACTAATAATTATATTTTTGAGAATTACTTTTTTTGAATTTCAAAATCATCAAAATATTAATTTTATTATTTTATATAAGATTGTGTAGCTTTTTTTTAACTTTAATTTTTTGCTTTACAATGGGTAGAAAATAACATATGCTAACAGATTTCTTTATTATTATAGACGAAAAAGCAAATAAGAGTAATAAGTTTGCTGTTTGTAAATGTTGTATCGAAGGCTCTACATATGAAGAAGCTTATAAGAATAGAATAACTAATACTCAACGAGAATGCAGGCATCATCTTAATTCCTGTTAATTTTTTATAGCAAAATATCCTAATGAGACAGAGCATAATAATATTTTAAACTTGATCTTAGAAAATAATTCACAAGAAAGTGAATTTAGTGTTGAAAAGTATAATTTAGATTTACTTATATTATAGTTTATAAATAATATACAGTATGTATTTACTTAAATCAAATTTTAGCTGATGAAACTACTTCGGAAATTTCTACAACTATTTCTAATAAAAGTAGTTCAAGTAAATGAGCTCAACTAGGCCTAGATAAAGAATTAACATTAGATAATTCCTTTTTCAGATAAGCAAAATGAAAAATTAGAACAGCTACTTTTAAAAGCAACTGTTTCATGTGGTTTAGCTTTTTCTTAGATCAATGATCCTGAAATTAGAAAACTTTTTTTTTATATAAATCCTATCATCAAATTACTAAAATGTCATGCACTTTCAGGTTGAATTTTAACTAATGCTGCTAAAAACAATATAGAGTTACAAAAAAAAGATATGCAAACAGATCAGCTTGGTGTTACTTTAACTTACAATAGTTAGAAGAATATTAAAAAGGAAAGTTTATTAAGAATAGCATTAATTAATTCAAAAGGCAAAATATTAATTTGGGATGCAGAAAATCTTTTAGGAAGATGAACTCAATGGCCTGATATTGTACAAATTACTAATGATCTTTTTACCAAATTTGAAGAGAATAAGATTAGAGTTAATTGTCTTGTAACAGATTCAGCTTCTGAATTTATAGCAGCTCGATCATGTTTTTGAACTTTTTATCCTGATAAGGTTTTTATACCTTGCTTCACACATCAGATGAATTTGGCTGTTGGTGATATATTTCGATATTTATCAACTTTCAAGACTATTGCAGAAGAAGCAATTAGTCTTGTATCATTTTTTAATTGGTCTGCATTTTTTTTGGGATGACCTCGAGATGAACAAATTTTAATATATGATAATAAGTATATATCTCTTATGCTACCAAATACAACCCAATAGAATAGTCATTATTATTGCTTTTCAAGCATTATCAAGACTCATATAGCCCTTAAAGTATGTTTTTTATTAATGATATAATTTAATTAAATATACAGTTAAAACTTGATATAATGAAGGATTATGCATATTAATATATATTATTCTAAATTATGCACACTGTTATGGGTTAATAAGTATATAATTTTTACTAAAGATTATGTCAAGTTTTATAAAAAACATAAGTAATTTCTTATTTATTTAATTAAATATATTTAAGAAAAAGTACTAACAAAATTTTATTATTTGTGCTTACTTATATATACTTTGTTATGTATTGTATCAAAATTATTATACTATATATTTAACTCAAATTATCATACTTATTTCAGTAAACTATCTTGTATTACCAATACTTATATAATTGCATAATTAAATTTTGAACTCTAATCGATTATTATATGGACATGTGATAATCGATCGCTTTGAACTCTTTAAGAAAAATGAAAAGATAAGTATTATTCTGCATTTTTTTTATTTTTTTAAAAAAATTTTTTTAATGCAATTAACTATGCAACATTCTAGAGTCCTAATTCTATTCTCTTTACATAATATGCAACATACTATCTAGAGATATTAAGTAGTCTAACTAGGGCATTAGAATTTATATTGTACAGAGTTTTTAATATACTAATTCAATTAAATAGATCATGTTTTTAACAGGTAGTTAAACTACTTAATATCTCTAATACTATATATTGCTATGATAACGTAAATTAGAATTATATATATTAATACATATATTCCAAATTATACGCATTTATCTCATTGAAGTTTGGTATGCATTAAATGTGCATAATTTGAAAATATGTAAAGGTCACATTTAGAGGTTGGAACCGGTTTTAATAATTTGGGTTTATCATATGAATTTTGTGATATTTTAGAATTTATTAAAATTTAATTTAATAAATTTCCAAAATATCACAAAATTCATATGATAAACCCGAATTATTAAAACCAGTTCCAACTTCTAGTCACATTTATCTATCTTTAATTCTTACTTATATTGAATATTTTTTATTTTAAAAGTTATTTGTAATTTTAATTATATTAAATATTAAAATTTGCTTTAAATTAGAACCTTGCAAACAAAATTAATAAAGGTTTAGATACTAGCTTAGTTGGCTTTTCTGAAGATATTCTTGTGAATATTCTTGATAATTCTTGGTAATCTGATTTACAAGAGCTTGAGGCACTTCTTCTTCTCTACTGTTCAGCATTAAACAAATTGCAATATGATTATTCTAGGCTTTATAAAGTTTTACATAGCTTCAGATGGATTGTTCAAGTAATTAGAGGCCTTTCTGATTACAACCTTCAAGCTAATCTTTTATCATATTTAGAACGTCAATGAAATACATGAGAACAACCACTATTGCTCTTAAGCTTTTTACTTCATCCTGAATATCGTGATAATATGTTTAATAAGCAAATACCTAATTTAACTTTTTCTTATCTTGGTCAATAGTTATTATACTATTACAAGGCTTAGTTTGGACATAAGTCAAAAGGGATTTTGAATGAATTACAGCAATATTAAGAGAAACAATTTCCATTTCAGGATGAAGATTATCAACAATTTGAAAAAAAAGGCGATATTTTTTCTTTTTGGAATTTTGTTGGTAGGTTTACTGAGGAATTACATCTTGTTGCACAATGTATTTTTTCAATTTGTATTAGCTCAGCATCTATTGAACAGTTATTTTTTACTATAGGTCGGTTACATAAATTTCAGAGAAATAAATTAAAGGTATACCTCATCTTATATATGTAAGTACTGGTAAAATTGAAAAAATTCATCATGCTGAATAGCACGATTCAAATACCATCCAAACTGCTATTCAATACTATCACATGATTTCGCAGACATGCACATCTGTGAAATAATATAATAGTGTTGAATGGCAGTTTGAATAGCAGTTTGGGTGGCATTCAAATTGTGCCATTTAATATAGCAAATTTTTTCAATTTTACCAGTAAGATGTTTGCTATTTATTATGTAAATGCTAGCATTAATTAAATTTTTAGCCTGAAAATGTAATAGCGATGTGTCAAATATATAGTGATCTAATATATTCATGCTGAATGAAAGGAATTCATGAATCTAAAAAAAAGTTTACTCAAATACAAATTGCAACTTCTGCAATGCTTTCTAATAAAAATTCGAATAGAAATGGTAAGCATTCTAAAAATACCAAGTTGACATTTTAAAATATCTTCAAAAGTTTTTTTTTTTTGTTGTAAAACAGATATCATATAACTTGATCATATGTTACGATAATTACAAAATAGTTGTGCATTTTATAAGAATAAGAATTACCCAAAATAATATATAAAATTACCATGGGCCATTACAATAACCAATGTTGTAAAATATGCTTTTAAAATAATTTAAAACCTTTTTTTTTTTTACTATTTTAGATGGGACAATTCAAGAATTAGAAAATGAGGATACAGAATTAGAAAAGACTCAGCAATCAGAAAAAAATGGTAAAATTAGTTCAGTTAATGAATGGCAAGAAACTGTAAATGATTGGAATTCTCTTGTAGAAGAGGAGAAAAAAATGATACTAGAATCAAATCATCCAGATGATCCAGATGAAGAAAATGAAGAGTTGATAGAATATAGTTTTGAAAATGAACATCCTGCTATTGTATCCAATGCTAAATGAAAATTGGAAACTCTTTTTGATGAAAACTGTTTGGGACAACCAGCATTTATAAATTTATTAAAGTAAGATAAATGTTAATTTGTATTAACTAGAAATTAAGTTGGCTATCAGGCATTAGTGTAATAAAATAAAATATAGCTATTATTTTACCTGAATTACCTAAATTATTTAATTGTAATCTGCTTAAATATTGCTCCAAAGTATATGCGTATTTTATATATCACTAATTAGATTTAAAAAGCTAAAGTGTTTTATAAAAAACCTGTCATCAGGTTTTCAATTATATTATATACCAGATACAATCACTAATAAATCATATAGATCGAATCCAGTACAAAATATAATTGAAAGCCTGATGCAGATTTTTCTTAATAGCATTCATATTATTGTACTTCTTAATAGATTATAAATTAATAAAACTACATATTTGTGTATTATTATAAAATTTGGCCTGAATTGAGTTTAATTTAAACTATAATTAAACTAATTTTTTCTTTATGTCCAATAAAAAAATTTATAATATCCAATCAAATTATTTGGACAAATTGGACATTGTTTAAATGTCCAAATGTCCAAATTGTCCAAATGTCCAAATTGTCCAAATGTCCAATATTATAACATAACATCTCTGTATGTGACAGTGATAAATTCATTCAATTAAGTATCTTATTAAACATTAAATAATAAATAAGCCATATATATTAACTTATTACAAGATTTACATACAGAGTAATACATATTTTTTAAAGTTAGTTTGGGATGTTACCAAAAGTCACAATGACAGGTTACCTAATCATATATCAAGAATTGCACACATCATTTCACTCTCTCATAATCATATTCTATATACATAATATACTGTTTCTGGTAAATATAATACAAAAATGTAACTTCTCACATAATTAATAAACAGTTATATAATTGTCTAATTTCTGTAAATTTACAGAAACACTATATTGTTTATTTTTGTTTGTGTTTACTAATACTAACTCATAAATACTGTACCTTGTTTTTTAAAAAAAATCAACTATTTCAATCATGCTAATTTCATAGCTTTATACTGTAATATGGTTGCTTAACCTAACTAGATTCTAAATATTTGTTTAATAAATATGTCGTCGCCAGTTAAAT